GGTGACAGCTTAAGGCTCTGTCTCAAAAAAAATTAAAAAAAGAACAGCCACTTTTCTACAGCTTTTGAATATACATTTTTTATCATTCTTTAGGTATCATATTATCCTTGAAAGTATTTCCAGAAAAATTACTGGCTCTATATCCCTTTTCCAGAACTCAAAATAGTGACAAATAATATATTAAGTAATTTGTTTTTCCTTTTTACTTGCTGGTTTCTTCTGCCTGGGACACCTTTGCTCTTCTTTGGTCAACTAACTCTGACTTCTGTTCTAAGAAGAGAGTGAGATGAAGGCAGGAGAAATGTATTTGTGATCTTTGTATAATTTTTGGCACATTTTAAGTATTCCTAATACGTTTGCTAAGTGAATAAATTAATTTGTTCTGCATTTCTAAGAGGAAAGTATTCTCTCAAAAATTCAAATCACCATTTTGCTCTAAGTAGATAAGAGTTAGGCTATGAGCAGATAGTAATTATGCTACATATTTCCATTTTATAGAATTTCATTTTTCCTTATGCTATTATGAATACATTTTTCAACTAGACTGCAAACTCCTTGAGGGCAGCAATATTTCTCAGAATAAAGTCATGAAGAGATCTCTTCTGAAAAAAAAAATCGGTGAAGAAAATTAAAGAATTCTATTGTTGGGTGGCGCCTGTGGCTCAAAAGAGTAGGGCACCAGTCCCATATGCCAGAGGTGGTGGGTTCAAACCCAGCCTGTGCCAAAAAACCGCAAATAAATAAATAAAATATTTAAAAAAAAAAAAAAGAATTCTATTGTTAAAACTAAATATCTACCAGTCTATAGAATATAGAGTTTTCAAGACAAGGAAATATTGTCTGAACTTAGGATCCCAGTATAAAATGTAAGACTTGAGAAGTTGGAACATTTTGTGGAATTCTAGTACGTACATCTTATCAGAAACATCTTATGCAACTCCTCAGATTCTCGTGGTGCCACCATTTCAGGTAATCTCAGTTCACTCCACCTCAGCTGGTAATTCCATGGTCGCTGCTGCCCTTAGGCCTATTCAGTTTTGCTTTTCTAAGAAGGCAGGCTCTTACCTCATGGTGTCCATGTACATAGCCAGGTATACCCTGAGCTCTGGATTCTCTTGCTACTTCTGAATTTGTATGTAAAGTTACATCACAGGTCATCGGATTTGGTAAGCCCAGAAGAGAATATTGTAACCAGGAGGACGGCGCCTGTGGCTCAGTGAGTAGGGTGCCGGCCCCATATACCAAGGGTGGCGAGTTCAAACCTGGCCTCGGCCAAACTGCAACAAAAACATAGCCGGGCGTTGTGGTGGGCACCTGTGATCCCAGCTACTTGGGAGCCTTAGGCAAGAGAATGCCTAAGCCCAAGAGCTGGAGGTTGCTGTGAGCTGTGACACTACAGCACTCTACTGAGGGCAACAAAGTGAAACTCTGTCTCTAATTTTATATATATATACACATATATATATATATCTGTATATATATATATGTATATATATTGTAACCAGGAATTGTGGGGTTACTTACATCTCTGTCAGCAAACTCTGACCAGTGGGAAGCAGGTGCTGACAGAGAGCTAGGCAGATAAATCTCTCTCCTCCCTCCCAAGGTCAGTTTCTTTGTACTGCCTGTCCAGAGATGTGCTGGGTGATACAACAGCTGTACATTCTGAGCATGCAGCCATTTCCCTGTCAGCTTATTGTGAGATGAGCTCAGCAGGGTAAATACAGCATCTTGCACTGCTTCTTATTCTTCCCTCTCACTTTATCTAGAGACTGCAGCTCTCAAGTTAAACATCAGCTCCTAATCCTCATCACATATTCTGTTTTTAGGAAATCCAAGTTAAGATTCATTCTAATTAACTATTGGCCCAAATTAAAGCAAGGTTTAATTTTTTTTAAATCCAAACCTTATTAGAATACTCAACTTTCTTGGTTTTCTTTCTAGATACTAGTACCTTCTCCAATTTTTACATACTGTATGTACATATCTTCTAATTTTAATAGGATTATGGAGATATCTATATTTTAGCCTCTAAGGCACACTGTACATCTCCTTAGAGAAGTAGCCAATACGGAAACATACCATTCTTTTTTTTCTTTTTTTTTTAGAGACACAGTCTCACTTTGTTGCCCTTGGGAGAGTTCCATAGCATCACACAGCTCACAGCAACCTCCAACTCCTGGGCTTAGGCAATTCTCTTGCCTCAGCCTCCTGAATAAGCTGGGACTACAGGTATCCGCTAACTATTCTTATCTATTATACTATTAATTGGTACAATCTAGAACCGATAAAATTTTCACAAGAGAAGAGAATGGTCAATATTAGACTTTGACTTTTTTTTTTTTTTTTTGCAGTTTTTAGCCGGGGCTGGGTTTAAACCTGCCACCTCTGGCATATGGGGCCAGCACTCTACCCTTTTGAGCCACAGGCGCCACCTCCATATTAGACTTTGAATTAGAAACCTCTTCCTTTGCTTACCTCCAAACACAGTCATGCATCACTTTACGATGGAAATATGTTCTGAGAAATGCGTTATCAGGCATTTTCACTGTTGTGTGAACATTGCAGAGTGTGCTACACAAACCTCAATGATAGTAAAGCCTACTACACGCCTAAGCTGTATGGATGGCACAGCCCACTGCTCCTAGGCTACAAACCTGTACAGAATGTTACTGTACTAAATACTGTAGGCAACAGTATTATTTGTATAACTAAATATAGAAAGGGCACAGTAAAAATACAGTATTACAGTCTTATGGGCCCACCATTGTGTATGTGGTCCATCATTGACCAAAATGTCATTATGTGGTAAATAAGTATATCCTGTTATTAAATAGAGTTGATGAATAGAGTTGAATAGTTTTATTTTCCAGGCAGCCAAGCAGGAAGGCTCTTAGAATAGTGCTGGGCATATTAAAGCACTCAGTAAATATTAATAAATGAAAAAGGGATGGGAAAGAAAAGAGACAGTAGAAGGGTTATCACTAGACCAGAATTCAATTAAACTTGATTCTAATCCTAATGTTGTTGTTAGGTATTCCAGGAGAGTTACTTCTCTCTGTAAGTGCTTCTACTTTATCTTCTATTTATGTTACATAAATATCTTAAGAATATTTACTGAATAAAAATTATGTAATTTCAAGGTATAATTATAGGTAATAGCCAAGCCAGATGCCCTTCCTGTCAAAATGGTGACTTGGATATAGTACCAAGATTAAAGCATTATGTTATAATATTATGTTTGTTAGTTTTCTAAAGTCAGAAAACCAATGGATGTCTTCAGATCAGCAGTTTCATGCAACCTTGGTAAAGCAGTTTATGCTTAGTCCTTAGAATGCCTTAAAATTTTATTGCTAAAAATACATAGATTCATAGTCATTACCTCAGTCATTAAAATGAATGTAAATTAATCATAAATACACTAGTAGGTCTAGAGTAGTTTGTGTGTTACAGTTCTGACTACCCTGCAAACAAGTCAGAGGACTAACTAACCCTTAGAGGGTTGATTATAAACCCTCTGAGGAAATCTAACTAAATATTTCCATAAGGAAAATTTAGTAAGTGGATAATTTTATCTCCTAACTTTCTTAGTAAGGCCTACAAAGATGAGAAGCTGAATTAATGTTAAAAGTTAATATCTCAATGAGAAAAGAGAAATTAGAAAACTGAATAACTGTAGGAATTAATGAAATGCTATTAAAGGAGAAATTTCATAATGTTGTTTTAGAGAGTCATTACTAAAAAGATTAAGTTTGATTAATAGATCCATGCTCTCAAATTTCTGCTTTTGAAGAAACTGTGGATCAAAAAAAAACTTACCATACAATTACTATGTGCCTAGAAATTAAAAAAGTACTTTTTAACTTCCCTAAGGTTACCACAGTGCAATATATCAATATAGCAAAATTGCACTTATACCTTATGAATACTACAAATAAAACAATGGGAAAAATAAAATAATAAAATACAGACACTAAAATAAAAACTTACCTTCATTTTTGCTTGTTCAATAAATTCAAAACACTCTGGAAAATAAGATAAGATATTCGTTTCAGGAAGATCCAATATAGAAACGCTCTTATATGTAAAGTCACTTAGGAAAGCATTTTCTACTCCATATGCAACATTGAGAATATGAGTCACCTTAAAGAGAAAAAAAAGATAATTTTTTAATGTTTTACTAAGTCCCATGATCGAGGCAGTTATCTAAGAAGAGACTGAGATATTGTCATCTGTACCAAGAATAATAAAAATTTAAATATGACTCATGTGAATACTTTCTTCAGGAAGTGTTCTGACTGCCACACCCCTCACCAGAAGAGCTCTTTCCGTATATTCTCATAGCCCCGTCCTTGCCATATTCTAGCTCACACCCCTTAGAGACTGTCTGTCTCACTCACTGTACTAGAAACTCCATGCGTGTAGGGAACACGTGGAAGTGAGTGAGCAGTAAGCTTAGTCCAAAGCGTTTAAAATCTTAGCTGAATATATCAGAGACTGTCCATATATTATAAAAAACATAAATAGGAGTATTATTAGCAGTCCACAACTTCCTTTTCAATTATTTCCCTATTTTCCTTTATACACTTTATTAACAAAATGGTTCTCAAGTTTAAAAGCTCCCCTAGTGAACTTTCAAGAACTAGCAATGCCACAGGGCTTCATACCTAGAGATTCTGATGAATTGGCCTAGATGAAAGGTAAGAGGTGGGATAGCTGCAAAATTTTCCTTCAGACAGTATATTCAAGCAGCCTCCTCCTACTCTATCTGTATGTTGAAAACCCCTTTCCTTGAGTCCACCAAGCATGTAGAAGCAAGCCAAGTAGAGAATCCAAAGGGGCAAACTAGATCAGAAAAAGCATTGTCATGCCCATGCTTCTTACTGTACTTACTCTTTTCTTGCTATGAGTCCCCAATTTTACCTAACATCAGTATTTCCATGCATTTCACACATTTCTAGAGTATTTGTCCAGCCCTGCCTCTCTTGACCCCACCATCCTCACAAGTATAGCTTGCCTTCCACTTCCCTCCCACACACAGTTGGCTAGATCTGGGTGGACACTTGACTTAAACCATGTCAATCAGATTATCTTCGGAAATTTTAAAAATAGGTTTAAAAGACAGAGTAATCTATAAACTTGAGAGCTTTAC